GGAGCTGCACGCGCACATTAAGCCTGCTAAATAATTGAAACCCCGGGAAAGCACAGACTTTGGCCCGACGGTGAGAAGAGGCGGAAAGACTTCTAATCAATCTGGCGGACGCCCAAGGAAGCCAGAAGCACGCCTCCGGCATGTGCTGCGTCTCTGGAACAACAAAGGAACGCGGTGGTTTTTTCGCCGGCCACCTATCGATAGGTAATCGATCAGCGGTCCGGCGAAGAAACCCTCGCGCGCCTCGGCTATGCAGGCGCTCTCGGGGACTCCGCCCGATCCGGCCTCCGAAGTTCTCTCTTCGCGTTTGGGGCTTCGGCTGCTGATGCGAGAGAGTTGGCGAAACTTTCTACCCGGGGACCTGTCCCCCTTGCAGGTGTCCTGCTCGCTCTCCTGCCTTGAGATGTCAGATGCCCAGTAAACATGGCTGCCCGATTCACACCAAAGCCAAAGTCGGCTCTGTTTGGATCGAGGGTTTATATTTAATCATTTAATGTTAAAAAGGGAGGGTCATAATCAAAAGAGAGGAGAGTTGGAGGGTCTGCGTAATCCTCGCGGAAGGGGGGGAGCGTTGGATCCCTTTAAAAATCCAGGGTTAACTTCCTTTTGGAAACAAATGTGCCATGATTTTTATTCTTTGCATTTAAAAGTGAATTATGCCCAAATTCATCCCCTTTCATGGAGAGTTTCCTGTTCTGTGAGCTTTAGTTTTCAGCAAATAAACAGTGTCCCAAGAAAGGAAGATCTTGATTTGATCCGAGAATACTTTGCACACATAAACACAGTAAGCATTACAAAAGATCACTCCAAGCAACCTGCTAAAACCTGGCTGGTTCCGACTCAAAAATAGCAGATGCCCCCCAATGATCTAAAACTCCCATGGAAAAAGGAGCTGCAACTCATAATCCTTTCCCTCCTTACCCAGTCGGAAAGTGTGAACTCTGCGTCCCAAAGGCCTGCTGCAAAGCGTGGCTTTTCAAAGAACCCAAGCTTTTCTTTTTCGGTTTCTTTGCCTTCTGCATTGGGGCTTGCGTGGGGCAATTGACGACTAGGTGCTTCTACCAGGCCCCACTCTGCCGCTGGTGCAATCAGCATTGTTCACTTGGAAGGAAACGCCAACAGATTCTGTAGAATTTAGCTTTGAGGATGTGCACCCAGGGCTGAACTAGTCTAAGCAAAATGCAAAAGGCCACATCACAGGGGTGTCTGCAGGTAAAAAAGGGTGGGGCTTCAGTCGCATGATTGTGGCCGCCATCTTGAGTTTTTTTACACCCCCCCCCCCCCCCCAC